ATAGACTTGTTGTGCAAGATTTAGGTAATTTATGTTCACCGGTTCATTTTTAGGTACATTCTCTTACGTGTTTCATGTTATGGGTATATCATTTGTTTGTTTGAAGGTGTTGTGTTCTTCATTGTGTATTGATTGCTTGTTTTGCAATGTCATTGTTGTGTATCTTTTAAGTGTATGTAGGACCTATCGTACGGTTCGTCCAGACGATAAATATTTCAGTTTGTATAGTTTTAGTGTGGGGAAAGATAAAATAAGGGGAATGAGGTTCTTCATGTTATTGTAGATGGACAACGTTGCAGAAGAAATAGCGGTTGTTGCTATATTGGAAGAGGCTGTCAGTAGTGTTCACGTTTTTTTGCTACTATCTGTTTATTTTTATATGAAATTCATCCGTCCTCGCCGAAAACATCAACGCTCCGACAGTGAGCACGTTCTTTTATTTCGATTTAGCGATAGACTCCCCCATCAGCTCAATTACATGCGAAGGTTGGTTGACGTGAGCGACACAACTTGTCTGGAGAACCTCCGTATGGATCGTAATTCATTCGGTCGTCTATGTTACCTTCTTGAAAGTTCTGGCGGACTTCGTCCATCCAGAAATGTTGCACCCAGCGAGCAAGTTGCAATTTTTCTCTCAGACCTAGCTCATCATAAGAAAAATGTCACTTTGAAGCTTGATTTTGTAAGATCTGGTAGAACAATAAGCAAATACTTTAATCGTGTTCTTGATGCGGTGATACGGGTTCACCGGATCTTAGCCGTGCATCCAAAGGCAGTAGAAGCCGATTGTGTTGATGAAAGGTGGAAATGGTTCAAGGTAACCTAATACACTATTCACAACGTGTTACCGTTTTGTTAGTTCAATCCATAAAGTAATAACTTTTCGTTATTTCTTTTTCGTTAGGGATGTCTAGGAGCACTAGATGGAACCTACATTGATGTGCGAGTTCCTTCCATTGACAAGGCACGATATAGAAACCGTAAGGGTAGTGTATCTATTAATGTACTTGGCGTTTGCGATAAAAATATGAACTTTGTGTACATGCTAAGTGGTTGGGAGGGGTCAGCTGCGGATAGTCGTGTCTTGCGCGATGCGGTTACTAGGACGAATGGTCTACGCGTTTCAAACGGTATTATCTCTTATATAATATATGTCATACATAAACATAGAAACTTAAAACACACATAGTGCCTTAATCTTTGTTACAAAATGTGTCACACAGGAAATTATTATTTGGTGGATGGTGGGTATACGAATGGTCCTGGGTTTTTAGCGCCATATAGGGGTGTCAGATACCACTTACAGGAATGGGGTACCGGAAATCGCAGGCCACGAAACTTTAGAGAATTGTACAACCTTCGTCATGCTAAGGCTAGAAATGTGATTGAGCGTGCGTTTGGTATTTTGAAGATGCGATGGGCAATTCTTAGGAGTTGTTCATATTATACCATTAGGACACAAAATCGCATTATTATGGCATGTGCGCTCCTCCACAACTTCATACGCACCTCAATGGCTAATGATCCCATGGAAGCACTAGTCCATGAGATACCGACTAACGGAGTGTCCACAACTACGAATGAAGATGAGTTGATAGACCAGGTGGAGGCTAGCCCGGAATGGACACAATTTCGTGACCGATTGGCACAAGATATGTTCAATGATTGGGATCGTAATGTCTTTTAGTTGAATAATTCTGTAAACAGAATCATGTGAGAGACGACATTTTTTTCTTTTCTATGCACCATTTCTTATGTCACGGTTTTGTCATTGCATGGCAAAATTAATTGGTCTTTTTTTAGATGACAGAATATGATGAGATACATAATATGTTCTGTATTCATTAAGCATTAATTTACCATTTTTAGCCTTCTTCATTTACCAGATGATGCCTTTATTTCTTTTATATGCGATGCCATTATCTTAGGAATAATGATTAAATCAATCCTTTCGTGCAATAGTATTGTCTGCACAGGTATCACCATGGACTATTCGTGTAGCCATGAAACTGGGAGGGCTTCTTCACAACCGAGTCGACGCCGTGTTTGGAGTCCTGCTGAGGAGCATGCCCTAATAGATATTTTAAAAGATATTGTTAACGAGGGTTGGAGGGCAGACAATGGTTTTAGGCAGGGTTACAATTTTGAGATTGAGAGAAGATTGAAGTTGAAGTTTCCTAATTGTACCATTCGTGCGGACCCTCACATAAGCTCCAAGATTCACGTTTGGAGGAAGAACTATGTGAGCGTGGCACTCATAAAAGGTAATTCGGGCTTTGGGTGGAATGAGATTACCAAAACTTTTTCCTGCGAAGATCATGTATGGATAGCATGGTTAAAGGTAAGAATCTAATAAGAAAACACGTAGATTATTTTGGTAAACATATATAACACCATCTACAATTATGGATGGTCGATGTATTTCGATGTTGTAGGTGGATCCTAATGCCAAATCTCTGAGGAACAAGTCCTTCCCACACATCCACGATTGGGCGGAGATCTTTGGGAAGGACAGAGCAACTGGAGAAAATGCACAGAGCTTTGAAGACGCAGCAAACGAAGTGCCAGCTCAAGACATGCAGCAAGACATGCAGCAGGACACACCAGACTCCGACCATGAGGATGTTCCATTACGTACTAACGTAAGTGATGGAAGCCCACACGTTGGCATGGGTAACACCTCCGGTACCACTGCTGAGTCCAGTTCGAGGGCAGGGAAGAGAAAGACAAGTGGCAAAAGAAGGGCATTGAACTAGTGGGAGGAAAGATTCCTAGATATCATGGAATCATTCTCCCAAAATACAAAAGACAGCTTGAATTCGGTTGCATCTAGGCTTGGGTTTGAGCACGATGCTGAGAAGAAAAGGAATGCAGTGTTTGAATCCTTGTCCAACATGCATTTCCTGTCAACTGAAAACAAAATGGTTGTGACAATGCGTTTGTGCAAGAACCCACAGGAGTTGTCTATGTACTTCAGCCTCAGCCCAGAGAATCAAGTTGTGATGGTGAACATGATACATGAAGGACGATTGTAGGGTAGTTGTCATGTGAAGACTTATTTGGCATGACTAGACTTATTTGGCATGTTTTGAAATATGTGGCATTTTAAGACTTATTTCTGTGTTTTTTTTTTCATTTTGGGTTCCTAAGACTTTGAACTTGTTGTGCTTGTTTTGTGTATGCTTGTTTAAGATATTAGTAATGTGCTTGTTTTGTTGACAATGTAACCTCTTGAATTTTAATGGTAGTACAATGGTTATTTTGTGAATGGTAGTTGTACGTGTATCATTTGAAGTGGAAAGTGTTTGGGATATAATATGCGAATCATCTATTTTAGTTTTTTCTCTTTTTTTTTTTTGTTGTGTTTATATTATTGTGACAACAGGCACAACATGGACAACATGGATGTTGANTTTATTTATTTTACTTATTTCGCATCAAACGAAACTGTAAAGTCCTGTCTACGTTTTACGTACGAAACATAAATCCTTTTTCTTTTATGTAGTCATTACCCGGAGCAATACACCACCATTACAGTGGGGTGGTGTTACCACAACAATGTAGTATCGAGACGATAGAGGGGCGCAAGTACGATACCACCTTGCGTATGGTTAACAACTGCCTCACATTTGTGGAGGGGTGGAAAGATTTCATTATATCAGAAGATATAGGTTTGGCATACTTTCTGGTTTTCAGTCCCAGGACCATGTTCGACTTTCAAGTGAGTGTGTTGGAGAGGCACAGATGTGAGAGGTTACCACA